GTTCCTAACCTCGGTTTGATCTGGTACTTCTGGACCTGACTGCAGCTTTTGATACTGTTGACCCCAGTTTCCTGTTGTCACGTTTAAAACGTTGGGTTGGGATCACAGGAGCAGCATTAGATTGGTTTCATTCCTGCCTAAGTCGAAGATGTTTTAGTGCTAATGTTGGAAACTTCTTTTCTGCCTCAGAGCCTCTTTCCTGTGGGATTCCACAGGGATCGATTCTTGGACCGCTTTTGTTTTCTTTATACCTGCTTCCTTTAGGGTCTGTTCTTAGGAAACATGGTCTGTCTTTTCATTGCTTTGCTGATGATTGTCAGATCTATCTGTCCTTGAAACCTGATAATAGAGCTTGCCAGTTGTTATTAAAATGTATTGATGGCATTAAGTGTTGGATGGCTGCAAATTAGTTTAAGTTTTAATGACAGGAAAACTGAAGTTATTGTGTTCAGCCCTAGTGCTAAAGCTGACACCATTCCATTAAATTTTGGCTCTCTTCAGTTGTATTTGAAGCAGTCTGTTGTAAATCTGGGAATGATTTTAGATTCTGATTTGAAGTTTAAGAAGCAGATTAACTCTGTTTTGCAGAAAAGTTTTTTTCAGGTTGTTAACATTCAGCGGAACGCCCGCGTGCCTTTTTGTATTGGTTTTATTTTGAAGTATAATATCTGTTTCCTGTTCAACCTGTGTCCGTGTGCAATAGATCAGACTTGACGTCTAGGCCTTCCTCTTTCGATTGACACCTCATTTGACCAACTGGGTTCAAGTTTCGCCTGTCTAGGGCCAATAAAATCTCAGAAGTGACCAACTTTCGGTTTCCATCTTTCTGGCTTTGATTGACTATAAAACGGCCAGTCAGCTTCGAGCTTCATTCTAATGCTACAGCTGTGTAGCCAATCACCATACCTTTCATTTAATGTATAAATAGAGGGGCTGGGAACTTTGTTAGTGATGGAAGATAACTCGTTGGAGGCGGCCATGTTTCGGCAGTGTTTTATGCTAAGGAAGGCAGCTCGCTGACAGGAAAACATTGTTTTCCACCGTTTTTTGTCCAGTTAGCTGACTAAACCTGATAAGATGAAAACATATTTGTTATTAAGTGTTTCGAGTGCTTCAAGATGTTGAAAAGGGATTTTTGTGGCCAGGAGAAGTAACTTTATTTTGGATAAAAAAGACTTCCGGTCGCCATTTTGAATCGCTAATTTGGACATATTTGAGGACAAAAATGTCTCCACCCACCTGTCTCCATCCACCTGTCTCCACCCACCCGTCTCCACCCACCCATCTCCACCCACCTATCTCCATCCACCCATCTCCACCCACCCGTCTCCACCCACCCATCTCCACCCACC